GTTTAATCATAAACAGAATGAAACTAGTTTGTCTGTATATAAGATGGCTTTTGAGCCTAAGATGGAGGCAGGCTGGTTCTTCAGTGTAGTCATCAGATGCACAATAGATCCCTGGCTTCCAAAGATGAGGTACTGCTTGGTTATTCCAAGTTGCTAATCCTACTTTACCAAACTGCTGGTGAAAATGATTGATCCAATTCTTCAAGAAGGAAAGCACAATTCTAATGGAGGGTGTGTGTGTACAAATCAAACACTGGAACTCAGATAGGGCACCTCTTAGCCTTTCCAGGCCCAATCACAAAGGTTAACTGAAAACTATGGCAGCCCAAGGGAAACAAAATTATTGAGGTTCTTACACTTCAGAAAAGATGATTTCAGTCACTCCATGAGGGAAAGAAACTTAGCTGACTGAGGCCAGGCTGAAGGCAAGGGGAACATGGATGGTGTAAGAGACCCAGAGACATTCTACAGCCTTCTGATGGATTGTAAAGATAAGGATTTAGTAGCTTTCTGTTCTTCTTGTTTGTGTGTATTTATGTGCACATGGTAACCATTTCTAATTTCTCTCCTGCTCACTATTAATTTATCAGCGATGGGAGATCAACTTTAGATTTGTACTGTAAGGAAACAGAACATTCCATTGGGTTGTGATCATGTAGTAGGACTATAGCTTGAGTTTCTGGGGAGAAAGGAACTACCATGTATTCACCCCAGGTAGGGCATGGATGACACACCAAAGAAACCATCCCACACTTAGAGCTTCATGAGCCAATTGGTATATTCTGGTTATTAACAGGAGTATGGCCAGGGTGGGGGGACACCTCAGGGCAGTTGGAACACTGAAACACTGTGAAGGCTAAAACAGGCTGCATCCCAGGAGCTGCCTGCTCAACTTGTAGGCGTCTCCACAGAAGAGTGTCTTTCCCCACAGCAACTGCTCACTGCCTATATGACTGTGGAGAGGGACGTGAGGCTTGTAACTTTCTGCACCTAAGCATGCTGATTTTCTATAGATTTCCAGGTCCTGTGAGCATATCTCCTCCCTCCAAGGATGTTGCAGCATGGAGGAAGTAGCTGCACAAGAAGGGATCATCTGCTGACTCTAGGACAACCCATCTTTCAGTTGCGGGGAGTGTCTTTGTTGTGGGATATTTGTACACTAGATGAAGATGCATGGCTGTGATTGGTGTAATAAAAAGCTGAATGGCCAATAGCTGGGCAGGAGATATAGGCAGGACTTCTGGGCAAAGAGAGGAAAGCTGAGAGGAGGAGCCTAGGTACATGATTTCGCCAGCAGATTGGGAGCAAGTTGGATGTGCCATACTAAGAAGCAGTAACCCAGCTATGTGACAAAATGTAGATTAAAAAACTGTGGGTTGATTAAATTATAAGAGTTAGTTGGGAAAAAGCCTAAGCTAAGGCCAAGCTTTCATAATTAATAATAAGTCTCCAGGTCATTATTTGCCGGCTGGCGGTCCAAAGATAATCCAACCAAAAAGCTTGTTACATGTCTTCACTGAGGGGGCATCGTGGATGGAAACAGCACTGTGATGTTCTGGGGGAGCTGACAAGCAATGGAAACAAGAGCATGGGGGTGGACAGCGCTGGGCACAGTTTCTTCCCCTTCAGCTCCAATGCGTTTCTTTCCAATACAGAGCTGGGCCCTTCAAACCCTTCTCCTTTGCCCGCTCACACAGTGTTTCATCAGCAAGGGCAGAAAGAGGGCTCTCGCAAGAGGAAGTGGTCTCCTTCCTGGTCATGGTCCTTGAAGGCATTGGCTTTGAGTCTAGTACTTAGAGCAGAAGTTCCTTAAACTAAGCTGGTGGAAGGGCAGATTCCTCCCAAATTTCATTAATGCCCTGCAGGTGGCTTCTGAGTGTCACTTGGGCTCTTTAGTGAGCCTGAAAGACACCCAGTGCTGTTCACCTCTGGCGAATTGTGTGGGCACCCCAGAAAGTAGCTTCTGAGAGAATGTCGGCAGCATCCTAGTTGTTATCTTCACAGAAGGGTCTGTGTCATCCTGCTGAAGGGCTTTTGTAGCCAGAAGTTTTCCTATGCCCTCCAGCCCCCCACCCCTGGTCCACAGCTGCTCAGACCCAAGTAAACACACAGAGGCTTATATTAGTTAAAACTGTTCGGCCATTAGCTCAGACTTACTACTTACTAGCTCTTACATTTAAACTCAGCCCATTTCTGTTAATCTATATGTTGCCGCATTTCCCGTGGCTTTACCTGTGTGCCATTACATGCTGCTCCCTGGATGGCAGGCAGGCGTCTCCTGACTCAGCCTTCTTCTTCCCAGAACTCTCCTTGTCTGCTTATCCCACCTATACTTCCTGCCTGGCTACTGGCCAATCAGCGTTTTATTAAACCAGTGTACAAAAGCATTATCCTACAGCAGACTTCCCGTCATTTTACCTGGGGAGCCTTGCAGATGCCTGCCCTGCACACTTGGCAGTGCCCCAGCAGGCGACTGAATCTTGCTGGCACCCCAGGGGGTGGTTTTACATTTGCAGCCTCATCCTGTGGCACCTTAGCACACTTCTTAACCATCCAGTGAGCCTCGGCTACACCCTCTTACTGAGTTCTGAGCCCCAGACTAGATCAGGGTCTTACGCTGTAGCCTAGACAGGCCTCAAATTCACAGCCTTCTTACTGCCTGTGTTCTGGGATTTGAGCATGTCCCCTATGCCTGGCCGATGTGTACAATTCATTGATTCTGCATGTATAGCCAAAGTGCTCAGTAAATAGCCCTTAGACTGGAAAGCCGTTGCAGCCCATGCTTAAGTTTCCCAACAGCTTCAGGTCAAGAGATATAAATAGGAACCCCCCCCCCCCACCGCAATCCACGGATGTGTTGTTTTAAAACTCCCACCTTTTCCTCATGGGAGATTTCCCAGCAGCAGCTCAAGCAGACTCCATAAGCTCTCTTAGGCAGCTCTCCTTGCTCATTTGGATGAGCTGTTTAGCCGTGCCTTAGAGACGTAACCAAAGTCTAGAAGCCAGCCTTCTTTCTGTGTGTTTGTTTCCCTCCTCCTGGCTGGGGATTGTGGGTGGGAGGCGCACTCAAGCATTCCCATCAGGAGGGAGTTCACACCTAAGAGGATGCTCTTTGGCCCTCTTTGGGCTTGACACATGTTAGAGGAGGATTGCGTGGAGTAGGAAATCACAGTCTGCAGCCTGTGAGAGAGGGGCAGCTTTATTAGCACACAGCCCACGCTCATACCTCGTCATCTACGGGTCTAACAGCAGAAGTGAATAATTGCAATTGAAACCATGTGACTCACAAAGCCCAAAACATTTGCTCTCTAGCCCATCACAGAACCAGTTTGCTCAGCCCCAGGTGAGACAAAGAACCATGACTGATTTGTTGGTTGATTGCTGGAACCAAGAGCAGGAACTCAACTTCAGGTCAATAGCCTCTTACACATTTTAATTATATTTTATACGTGCATTTATATATATGCACATGTGTACATATGCATATATTATTCATGCTTGGGTTCTTATTTTAGTTATTGGGTCACAATATATTACTGTCATAATTTTGATGCAGTAGGAGAGTTCAAGGTAACTTCTGAACCTGTGACACACGTTGTCACCCTTTTAGGACTCTTGGGCCACACATCACAACAGCGTGTTCTGGGCTCATCCCAGGGCTTCCCTGCCTAAGCTCTGGAACCAGCTATGTTCCAGGCAGACTGTGACTGACTGGAATTTTCCCAGGGCTAGAAAAATAAATGATGAAAGCAAACCCTAACATCCAGGTAGTCTTCGTATTCACCTGCAGATGGCAAAATTGCAGTGCAAAGTATCCCATCAGGCAGGGCCTTCTGACAACCTCGTCTAATGAGGCCCTCACCCCCACCCCACCCCACCCCACCTGTGCCACCACAGTGTTCTGGTGGCCTTGGAGTGCTCTGTTAAAACTTCATGGTCTATTTCAGAATTTTGCTTTCTCTCTCCATCTAGAATAGAAGGGACCTACCCCCTCCCCTTTTCAATTAATGGTGACTAGGAGTGATCACACTTGACTTGGTTCAAGTATCATATTTGACATGTGACTCATATCAAAGGTAGATCACTTGGTATCATTCACATCCTGTTGCTAGACAACCTGATGCTAACTGACCCTGAAAAATCGCCAACTTACTTGTGATAAGTTCTGTGATTTTGCCTGTTGGTCTCCAATAATGAGCTCAGTTGCCTAGCAGGCAGGAAGCAGCTGTCTTTGCAGATAGCCAGAATCAGATGCACAACTTGATGTGTAGAGGTGGAAACTCCTTGGAGGAAGTAGATTGCAGGGAGTGTATCTTTGTGACCTCTATCTTGTTCTGGCTCCCACCTGCATCCCTTTTCTGTTTCCTAGATGCTCTGCTATGCCTTTTTCCCCAAGGCTAGACTGACGCTTCCAAATACTGTGACCCTAAACAAATCCTTCTGCCTTTAACCTGCTTTCCTTGAGCATTTGATCGTAGTGACTGACAGAAAGCCTGACCAGCACAGCAGACTATTTTAAAATGACTTATGCCTGGGGGGGGGGGGGCTGCCTAGAACTCCAATGCAAGGGAGGAGTGGAGACAGGTGGATCCTGGGGGCTCATCAGCCAGCCAGTCCAGCCCAAATGGCAAGCTCAAAGTTCTATGAAAGACAGCTTCCATGCATACATACATACATACATACATACATACATACATACATACATACATATAACACACACAAATGCATAAATAAAACCAATTTTCCATTTCATTCTGCTGTTCTCAATGGCTCTCCCCTCACCCCACAAAGGGAAAGGTCCATTACTGGTTTTAGTGGACAGATGATTTTAGACAGCTACACATACATAGAAGTGGTTTTTTTTTTTTTGGTGTGTGTGTGTGTGTGTGTGTGTGTGTGTGTGTGTGTGTGTGTCCTTTTTAAAGCTGGGGGAACTGAACCATTGAACATGTTCCTTACTGCATATTAACCAGGTATCAAATAAACACACATACTATCCCTGGAGGTGGAAAACAATATATTACTTTATTTCCAAGAAAACAAAAACAGAAAACATCAACAGCAAAACAGATACCGTAGATGAGGGAGGGGACCTCCACAGCTAGCTTACTGGCTCAAATGCTGCTCTCTTCCAATAATAAAGTATGTACGACAAAGAGGGGACCAGCAATAGTCATGTAAACTTCTATTCCAGAAAATTTTCTCATTTTCCATGAGAGATCCAGTGTAAAACATTTCTTTTCAGGTGCTACCATCCAAATAACATAAAAAAGAGACCCGTCTTAGACTTCACCGTGAACAAGTGCATCCCTACCTTTTGACCCCTTATTACTCGACACAATCCCATTTGTTTTTCAGGAGAAGGAAAAAAAAGTTTTACATGAAAATGATTCCCTTTAAAGATGATTAAATGCAGCAGGCACAATTACAGCACAAGAATGACATTGTGGTAAGTGACGTCATTTAAAGCAAGTGTTTTTTTTTTTTCATTAGAACAAATAAATATTTATGAACACATTTTTAAAAATTATATCTATTCATTTGTGTGTTAGGGAGTGACTATGTGCAACCACACGTGTGCTGGGGTCAGAGAGTAACTGTGGGAGGGAACTCTCTCCCTCCATTGTGTGGGCCGCAGGAATCGAACTTGCATTGTTAGGCTTGGCAGCAAGCATCCGCACTTGCTGAGTCCTGACCTCACATTTTTCTGAATGACAGAACTTTTTTCTCCAAATTAACACTGAGTCCATTCTTAAACTCTGCCTTCTCTGGAGATATTAAATATGGCTTTATTTGACCTCCTCTCAACAACCCTAAGGAAATGAGCTGTGAGGATCAGCCTAAATTCTTAGAATTTGTTTCCTAATGGTCATTAGCCATCCTAAGGCTTGTGACATCATCTGCAAGATGCAGCTACTCACGTCACCCTCGAGAGAGGTGTGAGTTTTGAATAAGTGAGACAAGAAGGAGCTGGTGGGAGCCAACAGGCTTTAGCTTACATTTCCTCCTGCCCCCATGTCTGTGGATTAATCTGGCTGTAATTACTGATCCCTCTGGCCTGATGGAATATGCAGCCAGAACAGGGCACCTATGCAGTGTAGCCATTTTCTAAGACTCTAGAGCAGGGTTTCCAAAGCTGACACCACTCCCCAGTTTTATAGCGGAGAAAATACCTCGTGTCAACGCGTGACCCTCTTGTGTCAACATGTGTCTGGAGGATCACAGATGTTCAAGAGGCATTTAGTGAATGCAGGCTGAGTCAATGAATGAATGAGTGAGTGAGTGAGTTAGTGAGTGAGAAAGGACACAGATGTCCACCTACAATCGAAAGCTCTTAAGCATCCAGGAGCTCTTGTCAGCACCAATCATTGCAAGCTACCTGGATGCCTTCCTGGTGTGGTTAAAGCTGTGTACAACAGAGCTGGGTTCCTATCTCTCATATAGAAACGGAACCCCAGAAGTGAGTTACTCACAGGTTCCATACCCACAAAATAGCACCTTTCCTGTGGGAAAGAAAACAGTTCCCTCATTCCTGTGAGGATGTTTCAGTGTTCTCCACGAACATCCTGGAACAGAACATGGAAATGCTCGGCATCCCTGAGGTCCCCTTCCTGCCGCCACAGAGTGGCTCCTGTCTTAAGGGCATGTTCTGTCACTTCATGGCTTTGTACTGTAAGCACAACTTCAGACACAAGTAAACTGAAAATGTCAGTGTTCACAGGCCGTCTGTGCTGCTGAAGATGAAGCCCAAGTCCACACATGTCAGTCAAATGCTCAGACACGGTACTCTATCGTTCCTCAGCTCCTCGAGATCAGTTCCTTTTGTGTGTGTGTCTTTTGTTTTTCAAGACTGGGATTCTCTGTATGACCCTGGCTGTCCTGGAACTGGCTCTGTATAGACCAGGTTGGACTCACAGACCCACCTGCCTTTGCCTCCCAAGTGCTGGGATTAAAGGCATGCACCACCACCTCCAATCAGTCCTTGATTAAATGAAAGTGGGGAGTTACTAGAAAGCTCTCTCTATGACTATATATGGCTGAATGCATAGTTGCTACCAAGATGGTATGAAGCTTCCTCCTCAAATAAACCAAGGGTTGATAGTCTTAGACAGTATTCCCACCATTCTTCTTTCTGGCAGGATATACTAATATGAGTATCTGGCACAGAGAACCGATGCAATTAAATTTATCATCAACCACAGCAAGTAGACTAAGAGGCAGATGAGCATCAAGTGACTGCCAGACATCAGAGCCAGGTGTGGTTGTACACACTTGGAACAGCAGCACTTGCAGGGTGGGGTGGGGGTGGGAGGTGGGAGAACTGAGTTCAAGGCCATCCTGGGCTACCTGGCAAGAACCAGGGTAGCCAGAGATATATAGCAAGAGCTTGTCTTTAAAAAAGAAGAAAAGAAGAAGAGGCGGAAGAGGAAGGAAAGACATTCAAATGAAATGGCCAGGCTAGCTAAAAACACCAGGACGGCTGCACCCAGCCATCTAGTCAGTGAATGTATCACAGTGTCCAAGTGGATATTTTAAGCATAGCCATGAAGCCAAGTCCTGATATTTTCCTGAAACCCGTTTTTGAAGCCTCCAGCATAGCCAAGGCAAGAGTCTCTTGGAGAGGAAGGCTCTTCTTTACGCCTTTGATTTCCCATCAGGCCAGAGCTGCTGCGGATCAAAAATACCAGCTGGGTTGTATGGCAGTTTCACTCTGGTTGAGGGTTCTCTCTCGAAGCCGCAGCTCCAGGCACTCCACAGTGAGAGGGTACGTGTTGAGCTCAAATTTGTTAGCGAATAGGCTTTGTGAATTTACTAGCCATTTTAAGTCTCCATTTCCATAGATGCAAATGCCGTGTACATAGTGACCTGTTGGGGAGACAGGGCAGAAAAACAGTTAGACGTGCCTGTCTTTAGAAGACATGAGGGGTGAACTAGAGATGGCAGAAACCTAATCAAGTCTGATGAGATGCTAATGAAACATGACTGGGATGCCCTAGCCCACCGGGAGCTTAAACTGCTTAGGACCAAACGGCGCAAATATGCACTTGAATAAGACGGCATCGGACATAGTGAAAACAGCGTCCTAGAGTAGTTCATGCATGAGCACATGAGAGTTACAGGTAAGTTCTAGAAGCGCGGGGATGAAAGAGGCTCATTGGGTTTGTGTCGTCTCTTCTCTGAGCTCTGATGGAGTCTATGGAACTGTCACCTCCACCTTTGAGTGCCAGCTAGAGTAAGCCTCGCTGAGGGAGCATGTCAGCAGTGGACTCTGAGACAGGGCTTCTCTGTGTAGCCCAGGCTGGCCTTCAGTTAGCTATCCTATTGCCGTGTCTCCTGAGTACTGGGGTTGCACATGTCACTCTCAGGCCAGGATAGCACTGAAGTTCTCAGTCTCATCCCTTCACGACTGCTCCTCTCCAAACTGTCCCCACCATGCTCCGCAACCACCACCGCGGCCCACGCTGCTTCCGTCTTCCTGTCTGGACTGCTCTGAAGGGTGGCTCCTCCGGTGACTCCTTTGCGCGCGCGCGCGCACACACACACACACACACACACACACACACACACACACACACACACACACCGCGGCAGCCAGAGAGATTCAGTGAACATGCGGGTGGAATGGATCTCGGCTCTGAACTCTCAGCACTGGCATTTGAGACTCCTGAGCCTGGCCACTCTTTGCCCTTCTTCAACCACTTCTGACACACCATCTCCCCTGCCAGTCCCAAGCACAGCAGGCCCACTCTCCCTGACTCTCCCAGGGGCTACCCCCACACCCCTATAACCCTGATCCCTCCCAGATAATGGACAGCCCAGTGCTGGACATCACCTCAAGGTCACGTTCTCAGTAAGGCCCTCCCTACCAGATTTCCCTCATTCATTCGTGTTTGGTATTTGTGAGAGGGAATTAGGATACAGTCAAAAGACCCAAGAGGATACAGGGAGAAGAGGTCATTGAAAAGTCACAGGAGAAAGGCCAAGGAAGGAGCCAATTCTGTGACACGTGATCTTGCATTTCCAGTCTGATAGGTAAATTGTCCAATCATGCTGCGTTGTTACAGCAGCATAAGCAGGTAGATACACCTGCTCACTATGTGCTATGTAGTGTTGGGAGTGGATGATGCCCAGGCCAGATGGGATTCCTTCTTCATGAGAGTCAATAGAAAGGACAATGGCACATCTCTGCAATCCCAGCACTTAGGAGACAGAAGAGGGAGAACCCAGATCTTCCTTGGCTACGCAGCAAGTTCTGGGTGACTCTGGAATACACGAGACCCTGTCTCATTCCACCCCCACCCTGCCGCAAAAGGCGTTGACTTAGGGTCTCTAGTTCTTGTCTATTTAGGGAAGAATCCTTTCTCCTTGATGTCACCTGCCATGTGCCTGAGTGGTCACAAACACCTGAAGTTCTCCAAGTCACTCCTGGCCTGTGTGTAGAGGGAAGAGCGTGATGTGGGGACAAAGTGTGAGCATGCTCTGTCACAAGGTCGTGACATCACCTGTCCCAGCTCCTGCACTCCCGAAAGGAACAGTAAGCAAGGGGCAATGAGAAATCAGAAATTAGCAAGAACAGAGTTCATTTTTAACTTGAAAGTACTATCTCTCCCTGGCAGTTCTAAGGTTGAGAATGTCTGAGAAATGGAAACTTATCTTCAGGAGACAACGTGATGAGGTACCCAGCTTTCTCTGCACAAGAACCCCTTCTATTAAGTTAACAATGATCCCCATGCCAACAACAACAGGCAGTATGGCCTGAGAGCGGGAGACCTTACCATGGCAGCCTCCATGCTGAGCTTCCATATCATTCCACTTTACAGCTCTGAGGTTGCCCGTCCAGGATGCGTTAGGCATGGCGCCGGGAACTCCTGCAATGATGATAAAATAGCAATAAGAACCGGGAGCCCCACCCACTGCTCCGTCTCCACAGCTCTTCTTTGTCCTTCAGGCTGCTGTGTGCTGCCTGGCAGTCGTTTCCCTGGGGTTCTACACACCCGGCAGCAATGGCATTCTCCTTCCAAACGTGACAAGCCAAACCCTCTGCAAACATTGCCCCATGTCCTGTGGGGAAGCAACACTGTTTCATTTGAGCAACACAGTGGCAAGCCATCTCAATAGATTCTGGGTAAGCCATGAAAGGGCCCACTGAGCCATACAGGGCAGCTATGCCTTCAAATAACATGAAAGTCACGACTGGAAATGGTGGAGGGCTTTAGAATCCAGACGTCCAAGGCATTTGAGAGTATATAGAAATCAATACAAGTATGAAAGGGGCACGCTCTGCGGTGTGAGAACTGTAGCGTTTTCCACCATGACAAGTACAATCTACACAGAACGTTATTTAGAGGTAATGATGCAAGTATCTGTACCCAAAATGCAACAGTTCTCTCTTAGGAAACTCTAAGATGATAAAACATACTTTGGTAGGAAGGATAATGTCCCTTTTACACACACACACACACACACACACACACACACACACACACACACACACATACACTTCCACATTCTAAACACTGGAAACTGGATATGCTGTATTTCTCTCCCTCTCCCTCTCCCTCTCCCTCTCCCTCTCCCTCTCTCTCTCTCTCTCTCTCTCTCTCACACACACACACACATTCTAAACACTGGAAACTGGATATGCTGTATTTCTCTCTCTCTCTCTCTCTCTCTCTCTCTCTCTCTCTCTCTCTCTCCCTCTCTCCCACATTCTAAACACTGGAAACTGGATATGCTGTATTACATGGAAAAGCGGAATGATATTTCATAACAAAGAGGAATGGCGGTTGCTCTTCAGCTGGACTTCAAATAGGTTATCCTGAATTATTCTCTCTGCCTGCCAGCCCCGCCTATCCTTTCTCCTGCTTCACTAGTGGCCGTTCAGCTCTTTATTAGACCATCAAGTGTTTTAGACAGGCACAGCAACACAGCTTCACAGAGTTAAACAAATGCAACATAAACAAAAGTACCACACCTTAGAGTAACATTCCCCAACAGGACTGACATGAACTTACAATTTAAATAGAGGCAGAACTATTTAAAGGGTGGGATGGAGGCAAGAGTCAGTCAGGCCGATGAAGCTAGCTTTTGCCAAAGCCTGATCTGGTTGATCATTATCTCTCCCTTGGTTGTGAAAGGTGGCTGGAAGAAGTCCTGATTGCTGGGTAAGCCAAGTCAGTTCCAGGAGATGATTGCTCCTGCTTGGGTGTGATCTCACCGTGGGATAAACAGATCTACGAGGCTCTGCCGTTCCTAGAACTCAGCACAAGTGCAGGTTCACTAGAGACTTCCCGTCATTTTGGGTGGAACGTTGGAGTGGAGCCCCGGAGGAGAATGCTGTGAAAGCTGCTCCTGCTCCTTTTTGTTGTTGTTGTTTTTCAAGACAGGGTTTCTCTATCTAGTCCTTGCTGTCCTGGAACTCACTTTGTAGACCAGGCTGGCCTTGAACTCAAGATCCGCTTTGCCTTTGCCTCCCCCCAGTGCTGGGATTAAAGGCGCCGCTGCCACCACCACCACCACCACCTGGCCTGTTCCTCTTATCGTTAGGCCTTTCGGCCTCCAGTGAGATGAGACAGTTTTAGTAGCTTCGGATTTTAGACAGACACCTCTTAAGTGCAGAAGTAAGCAAAATCCAGGAGGCAGATGCAAAGAGAAGACAGACAAAAAAGAAGCCAGCCTGTCATCCACTCTTAGTTACCCTGTGATGAGGATTCAGGGCTTCTCAGGTTCAGTTTATAGTAACAGTGGGAGGGGAAGACCAAAGAGGGGGTCAGCCACGGTAATTTGAAGGTAGGGGAAGGACCCCCAGTGAGGAATTCAGGTGCAAAGGCAAGGGACTGGAGGGTGCCCAGAAGCAGATGGGGACGCGGCCCAGCCAGTGGCCCTGCAGCATTACTTCCAAGCTCAGAACAGCAAGACAATCCCTGTATCGGTTAAACTCTCAGTTTTGTGGTAATCTTACGGGACTTTTTAGGGCAAAGGCTTGGGCTCTGCTGCTCCAGCAAGCTAGGACTGTTTATCTACCTGTCCCCAGTATAGCAGTCAATGATTAGACAATAGTCATAGTGAAGAGGAGAGCAAGATTTACTCAGTGTGGCCACATTGGGAGGACAAATGACGGGGTCCCAACCCACCCCCCAAGCCAGTCTCTCAGTGTCCTGACACGAGGTTTCGGTTTAAATAGAGGCCAAGGAAGGAATGCACATAATCCCACAGCTTTGATTATGGTGCGGTCTCACCTATCACTGACTTTCTGCCCTGTTCTGTAAGGCGGTCAGAACTGTGGGAAATCCCTTTCTGGGATTATCTTTTCCCTGCCAGGACAGTTAAGATGTAATTTATTACTACAGTCTCAGATGGAAAACTGACTACTGAAGAAGATGACATTTTCCAGTAAGGGTAGGGGGTTAAAATCTAAGGCTCAAACTTTGAAAGAAATTTAATAGGATGGCACATTTAAAGTTAACCCACCTCAGCTGGGCGGTGGTGGCACACGCCTTTATTCCCAGCAGTCAGGAGGCAGAGGCAGGTGGATCTCCTTGAGTCCTGGTTTACAGAGCCAGTTCCAGAGAAACCCTGCCTTGAAAAAACAAAAACCAAAAAAATACTAATCCATCTCATTAAAAGAAATTAATAAAAAGGTACATTTCAGAAGAAAACAGTCCCGTCCTGCCGCCCTGTTGACACATGATAATTGTGTGCCAATCTAAATCTAGAGTTGTACCAAGTCTCCCAACCAGAAGGAACGGTTGTCACAGCCTTTCCTGTCAACAGGGTGGCTCTTTAACCCTGGGGCTCTCTACCAGGTAAGAATCCCGTTTCTTATTTTGTCTTTTTGGTTTGTCCCCCAAGCTTGAAAGCATGTAACAGAAACCACAGCAGTTCCATCTCCTGCTGCTTTGAGTTAAACACCATAAAGGTTACCATAACGCTTGCCTATCCAAAAAGAAGCTCCCTTATTTTGCTCTTGATACACACTCTCAAATAACCTAGAGCAAAAGGAAAAGAATTTATATTAAAACTTGCCTGGGGAGTGTGGGAAGCCAGGAAGGAATTCAGTTTGTTTTACTCTGTCAAACTAATCTGTGTGTGATGTTTATGAGTCTATTTAGTTTAAATGACCACACCAGACAACCGAATAAAACATCTTCCTGACAATACAGCTCTTAATCTTTAAGCAAGTACATTTCTGAGAAGACATTTTTCTCTTTCACGCTCATGAATATTGATTGCACAAACTGAGAAATGCATTCCATTATCCCAGTGTTAGGATCAGTACATTTACAACTAATGATTCCCTCCCTCCCTTTTGAATGGATACATACACTCATTAATCTCTAGCGGATGAAATTTCCAAACTCCTATACTTCCTGTCTGATGACATGTCGGTTTAAATATTATCTGTGGTTCATGTTTGTGCATAAAATGACATTTATTAACAGAAGAGGGAGTGATTCTACTTTGTCTCCCCGCCCCCATCTCCCATAGACCCCTGGGGCATAGAGAAGTCTGCAAGAAAAGGGTGTAGCCCCTGGCATAAAGAGAGCTATTCCAATGTGGTTCTTGGACCGCAACATTAGTATTACCTGGAAACGCACTGGAAATGCAGAACCTTTGGCCCCACCCAGACTTCTTGAAATAGGACCAGCACCGCCCTAGGAAGGCAGACTCCTCTGCATGACCAAGTCTAAGAAAACAAGAGGCACCCTCCAGAGGCCACAATGGCACCCTCCCTTCCCCTCCCTCTCTGAGATCCTTCCTTCATCCAGTTTCAAGTTTAATCCTGTTCTCTTTATCCCATCTCACTCAAATCTGTTCCAGTTGTCAAATTACTACACTTATATCCTTTCTTCAGTTGAATTAATTAGGCTCCATTGCTAGGACATAGGTATTTGTTTTTTATTTATTTTTATTTTATGTGTCTGCTATCCTAGGAGCCAGAAGAGAGCACTGGATCCCCTGGGGCCTGGAGTTATTGGAGTTGTGAGCTGTCACAGGGGTGCTAGGGCCCAAACCCAGGTCCTCTGCTCAGTATTATGGGGCATTTTTTAATGTCTGAGAGTTTCTGCACCAGTGAAGGGACTGAATGAAGTCAGTGGCTTTTAGTTTAGAGTGCATGCAACCCACAGGGAGGAAAATTACATCACCATCTCTCTCCCACATTCATATAATACAAACAGGAGTTTCGGAAAACAGGACTCCGGCTGCTTACACGCATGGCATTTGTTTACACTGCTATCTAGTGCTAAGTAGGGGTTGGAGGTATAACCCAGGTGGTAGAATGCTTACCTAGCATACACACAGCCCTGGGTTTGATCCTTAGCACTGAATAAACTGGGTGTGGTGGCTAAAGCCTGAATGCTGGTAATCCCACCACTAGGGGGAGGGGGCAGGAGGATCAGAAGTTCAAAGCCATCCTCTACCACCTAGTGAGTTGGGGGCCAACCTGGGATATATGAGATGCTGTCTCAAAAAAAAAAAAAAAAAAATGACTAAAGTGTCTTCTGAATACTGTGATGGGAAATAACTGCTGTCTACCTGATTCAATGCTGTTGTTGTTGCTCCCATTATTACTGCTATTGTGCTCACTGGGCAGGGGGCTGGGAGGATCCCCACAGGGCATCTGGGTAAGAGTTTATCTTTGACTTACAAGAAACCTAACAAAGGTTCATTTTTCTCATTATTTCCAGGATAAGGCAAAAAGAAGATTGTCAATGTTATCAGAGAAAACATTTTCACCAAAAAATCCAATTCTCTCATTTGCTCTTCATAGGCTTCTGTAAATAGAACATTTGAGATAAGGTTTGCAGAGTGACCTGGAATGTTTTTGTTGGGTCTCAGCCTTTACTGGTCAAATAACTGTGTTTGTTAAATAAATGGATGTGATTCTTTGAAATTTGAGCTCTATTTATATGAACCTCATTTTGCTCATTATCTCCCCAGAGCTTCCTCCTCACTTGGGGAGACTCGTGCATGATAGTAAGTTCCAGGAATTGCTTGATTCGAGCTCAGATATGTCCTTTGACACTCACTTGTTAGACACATGGGAATTTAAATATCAAATATTAAAAGGGATGTCTCACAATTTAATGTTGGTGCTAGACAATGAGACAATTCTAGAACAAGCTTGGCTAACCAGCAGGAAAAACTACCATAACTGCACTCTGCCTTTGTCCATTCAAACCAATTCCTTCAAAATAAGGTGAGAAAATAATTTTTGGAAGATACAGATCTATGGGGCTATTGACTATGACATTATTACCCATACTGACTGATACACAATTCTGAAGTCAGGACTTGTCTGTCTGCTATTATTAGTTGTTGGACTTTAAACAACTAATTACTCTTTTGAAGGCAAGGTGTGACAAATCCTGGTGGGATTTTGTCAGTATAGCCATCTCTACCTGTCCTTGGGGGATTGGATCCAGGATCCTCTCTCCCTGCTTCTCCGGATACCAAAATCTGAAGATGCTCAAGTCCCTCATAGAAAATGGTGTAGGCTCTGCCCATATAACTGGTCTGGCACAAAACAGGATCGTCTGTTTTTGTTGTTGTTATTGCCCTTTTGTTTGCTGTTTGGG